GGTTAGGCCATGCCTGGCCATGCCGTGACACCGTGCCATGACGGGTGGCCCAAATGCTCATCTATAGTGGCACCACCAGGAAGAAGATCAGATCAGCGAGCAGTCGCGGCACACTCCCTAAATACCTGATCGCCCGCACATCCGGGCAGATGTCGCAGATGCAAACGATGGTTCTGGAGGCCTGCTCTCCCAACTCTCCGTGTGCTCAGAGGATTGAGACGGAGAAAACTTGGGAGCAACTCAATAGAAAAACGATGGTGCAGTGTATTGTGTCTCGTGCGCGTAGCTGAAGGCAAGCTCTCCTTCTTATAAGTGCGGAAGGTAGAAGATTAAGTGTAGAGAATGAATTTAGACGTCACGAAGCGTCCATCAGTCACTAGTAACCACTACCATAAACATTGGGGTTACAAGTAACTACAACCATAATCATGGGAGCTACTAGTAACCGTAACCATAACTATTTCCATTATAAGTTTAGTCATCAACTACATTAAGTTGACCATTTTATTGCACCTAGCATTTAATCTGGGCCTTATAATTTATTTAATTTTAATTGAATAAAATTAGGCCAAGCAATAAAATCCAACATATTTTTGCATAGGAATTGTCTTTTCTCGCTATCCACTGACTATCGAGAACGGTGCTTTGTATGCTTGCACCTATACTAGTCCATCATGTGCGCCATCGCGCGCGCCGGCAAATGACCTAATTAAGGCGCAGGGAAAAAATCTGTTTAATCTTTGCATAGAAATAATATTAGAAGTTCAATGTAGATATTTCATGTACAGGAAACCTAAAGCTTTGTCACTTACTTGTCAGTATTTAGAAACAAACCAACTAAAAATGTGTACGTAGGTAGGAGTTTACCAATCTGACAGCAAACGACACCGTTGTCTTCATAGGGCACGTGGATCAGTTCCTGACATCATCATCATATCAACCTGCCAGGAATAATAATAGATTGAAGGACGTCATGTGTTCATCAGCATAGCATGAATAAATTCTTATAAGTTAGGTAGTATTGTATTTTGTTGCTTCCTAATCTACTAGCCACACAGAAGGTAATGCAATCCCAAAAATTCATACAACTCCCATAGAAATAACCCCTAATAAATATACTCTGAATACTTTGGTTTGAGAAATAAGCATTAATAAATGGTATTTTCATATTGGGCAATATGTCAGTTTGACAGGACAACTCTTAGGTTGTATGTATGGCTAAGATAAATATAAAAACTTAGAGCACTCAAATACTGATTACTCCACCCCTCTCCCATTCCTTTTTTATTTGCACCTATTTTCTTTCACTACAAAGGTCATGCTCATATGCATATTGGGAAACATTAGAACTATAATCAAAGATTGAAGATTAAGTACTTTGCCTACTATTTTGCTCATCATAGTTGCAGAACCTAAATATAGTATATGTATGTTTTCACGTTGTTACAGAGACAAATCATATACCAAAATAATCCTAAGGCTACCTTTTTTTTCTTACATTGGTACAGAGCAGCAGGTAGCATGCAATGACCTGATTGATCTCCATTTTATGTTTTGAAAAGGTTAGCGACATATCATAGTAAGCACGAGAAGAAGAAGTAGTATTGCTTTTATACATAAATCGAAGGGGGGGGGGTTAGGGAGAAAGCCGACCCTAAAGAGTTGAATCATCACTATTATATATATATATATATATGTGTGTGTGTGTGTGTGTGTGTGTGTGTGTGTGTGTGTGTGTGTGTGTGTGTGTGTGTGTGTGTGTGTGTGTGTGTGTGTGTGTGTGTGTGTGTGTGTGTGTGTACCAACAACAGTTTCGTATTCGTTAAAAAACATATAAAGGCCAGTAAGTAGGTATAGGTAAGAAATCAACATGAAAGGAGAGAAGGTTTAACCAACCCACACCCTACAGAATGGCAAGGAAATCATAGTGACCATGTCGATCGTTGAGAGAAAAGTTGGAAATGTTTACCTTGGTCTCACTTTCAGTTGGTTCAATTATGAGTATGGCAGAAACACGTTATGGAAATACAACTGCAACGCCTATATAATTTAGAGGAAAGGGTGAGCTAAATAATAGTAATTCCTAGTGATATTTCTCTTTGCAAACTAACATGTTGTTTTAAAGGGCTATAAAGTTTCTGCTGGCACAACGAAAAAGGTCATGTTTTTTTCCAATGAAGACAAGATTTTTAGAGGCTTCAGAAACATACCAATCATCATTTGTTCTTCAACTTGAAGCTTCAAGGCATGTTGACAACTGGGTTACTGTCACAAATTGCATAATATAAATAACAGGCCATGGCCAGTACCTCACAAGAGAATGAACATCAGATCATATGCTTGAGCAATGGGTACGTCGTCACAGGCCTAAGAAGAAAAAAATGGCAGGTGCCAAAACTTCAAAGTAGTCTACCTATGCAGAATATTACTAGAGTTGAACATCGTGTGGCAATCGAAATGTACATATCAATTTGTGCTCTGTTGACAAGGGAACTAAGTGACCACCACTCTGGAAACGTGGTGAGGTAAGATGGCAAGAAGTAGTGATGAGAAGTACACTATCTGTTGTGGCCTCTGATGCAAATCGACCAACATTCAAAATGCCCAGGCACTCATATGGAGTTAAGCTGAGAGAGATTACATAACCTTTGTAGCAGTGATAGTGAGGTGGCAACTGGCAATTGGTGCTATCCTCCCAGAGATGAACACAGAGAAGGAAAATATTGGAGCTGCAGGCATTATAGGTCAACCAACAGAACACGATCCATAGTTAACGTAGGGACAAATTAGAGAGACAAAAGCAAAATCACAAAAAAAGATGAAACGGGAGCACCTGAGACTGGTCTGTACCAAACGCGGCACTGTCGAGGCCCACCCGCACCGGGTGCGGCCACCATACGCAGCCACAATGGGAGAAAGGGAGAGGGGGGAAGATGAGGACGAGCGATTTCCAGGCCATGCTTCTGCCCTGCGCCGGCAACGCCATGGTGGGGACCCACCCCCGGTCAGGGGCATGGCCGGCGAGCACAGGCAAGTAGGGTTTGGTCGAGCACACGCGGAGCGGCGAGAAGGGCAGCGCGGGGAAGCAGCGGCGGCGCAGGTAGCTAAGGTTTGGTCGAGCACATGCGGAGCGGCGGGAAGGGGCACCGCGGGGACGGCGGTGGTGGCAGCTACCGACATGGGCATGTCGTGCCGCTCCGTGGCCGAGGACGTCCACCACCTTCGGGGCGGCCACCGTGGCGGCCTGTGTGCGCCATGCGCCGCGCAGCAGTCTTGTGTCGTCGGTCGGCGGCAGCAAGCTGCGAGGATGCGCGAACTCGCGGACGAAGGCCGTGTCGGGGTGGCGCCGCCAGCGGCGCGCCCACGTCTTGAGGGGGCAGGGGGCCGCTAGCGGACGTGTGCCACCGTCCAGCTGGCGCACCGGCCATCAGTGGAGCCCGTGTAGCTGGATCTAGTGGCGATGGGGAGGCCTCGCGCTGGATTCGCCTGGTCGCCACAGATCCAGCGCCTCCGTTGCCGGCGTGAGCCCCACGCCGTGCTCCAGCCTCATATCCGCCGCCGAGAGGGGCCCCGCGAGCGGCCGCTTCAGATCCACCGCCGAGGTTGCTGACGTGACCTCCCCGTCGTCATGGACGGGCAGCACGGAGGTCCCTCCGCCGCCAGAGCCGGCCGTCGCGTCAGGGCCTCAGCTGGCTGGCCGCGCGGCCGTGGGGACGACCGGCGACGGAGGGGCCAAACCCTAGGCCGCGCGACCCGCTGCCTTGCGTCGCCAGGAGGAAGCGGCGCGGTGGTGGTGGTGTTGGAGGAGGAGGAGGAGGAGGAGGCCACGCCACGCCGGGGCGGCCACCGCCATGCACATGCACTTCTGCGATTCAGCCTAGGGCTCATGCAGCGAGCCGGCCGGCATGATCTGACCGGCCCGGCTGCATGGCGATCTAGGGGAGGAGGAGGAGGAGGGTGTCGCCGCATTGGGAGAGAGAGAGAGAAGGGGTGGAAGAGGGGGCGCCGAGTGTCGCGGAGAGGTCGAGGGAGATGGTACGTCGGGAGGCTTCGAGAGGCGGCGGACGCGGTGGGAGCAGATATTTCCAGGCGGGCGTTGTAGAAGCCGGTGGGAGGAACCAGGACTGTTGATCGAAGAATCCGACGGCTGAAGTAATTGGGGTGATGTGGATGGGCTGAGAGCTGGCCAAACTCCCCTGCTACGATATATAGAGATTCAGCAACCTCAGAAGTAGGATGGCACTCCTTACTTCATATCTTAGCGGCTAGAAATAAGGCAGGATGTCATTTGGATTCTCAATCTTGTTTAAAGACTCTCAAAAAATTCAGTGCGGTATGCATAGTAGCAAGTGCTGGTTTGGGAGGAGCTATTTTCATCCATCTCGTAAAATGCAACCAAATTGGTATGCGATTCAGAATTAGCTTGCCCTCAGTTCATCACTTGCTACTTATACCACTGTAAAAAACCAAACGCCCCATGTTGAAGTACATAGAAGAGCTCCTCCCATAATTAAATCCTAAGCTATCGAATTTGAACCCTTACAAACACCGACCCAATGCACAACAAGCAACGTCGTCGTCGTCGAACACCACTGGTGAGAAGACGGCCGTTGAAGGAGATGGACGCCGGAGATGAGAGCGCCACGTCCGTGACGCCCTCACCGTTGCCAGCGCTTCGTACCGCGGCCAAGCTTCTAGAGGCCGGGCTTCGTTCCCGGGCCGGGTTGAAGGGGAAAGGCCGGGCTAGATCGGGTTACAACCCACGCCAGGCTTAAAGGAAGCCGCAATATCTGGATTGCTTCCACGCCAGGGTGACCCACGGGAGTTGGGCCCCGAACCCGGCCATTCCCGGCCCAAACGAACCAGGCCTTAAGCCACGCTTGAGGGGCGTCGGGGTTCGGGAGTTCGGGACACCCGGTGCAGCCGTGCTCTTCCGCCTGAACTAGGGCGCCGTCGCCTCCGCCTCCTCCTGAACTAGGGCGCCGCCGCCGGCTGTCGCCATGTCTGACGAATACGGTGGGCTCCTCACCCAGCCGCATTTCTATGCGCCACTCTATGCTCTTGCGCTTGTTTGTTTTACTCGGGATTTTGATTGGTTTTCTTCTCCTTTCGCTGTGGTTTTTGGGGGTTTATTAGTGGACTTGCCCGTCTCGGACGACGATGAAGAGGAGTTCGAAGATGAGATGGATGATGGTGAGGAGGAGGATGGTGGTGGAAGCTCGAAGAAAAAGGCCAAGCAGCACGTGGAGCAGCTCAAGCGGCTGCAGCAGAAGGTTCGTCCCTGTCGCCTCCGGTTTCTTCGCTGTCAATTGAGTGGAATCTAAGTTTTGTAATCCATATTTTTACTACTTCTTAAAAATGATGCTTAGCAGTTTTAGTGGATTTTTTATGGTTCCTGACTGTGCCTATTCTTTTCTTATGCTTTATTACTGGTTGCGGCCTGGGTATATGACTTACAGGTTCGACTGTGCTCTTGTGCTGTTTTTCCTGTCGACACTAAATTGACTCTGCAAGCTTTTATGGTTTTTGCCTGATAGCTTGTTACTATTTCTCAGCTGTGTACATTGACCGAAAATTGTGCGGTTGCCTGGACAGTAACTAGTTTATTTGATTCAGATTCAGAAATTGACTGTAATCTGGCAATCTGCTGGGTTATGGTAGTATTTGAAATTGCTGCTAGTAGGTATTGTAGAGTAGGCTATATAAAGTGACTGGTTGCAAAATAGTATTAGTAGGACCAACTTCCTCCAGAGATGCATAACAAACTAACAGCGAGCTGTTTTATATTGGGGTCACAAGTGATAAAAGAAAGTTTTCATCTCTGCTCAGCATGTTGGTCATAAATAATTATTTGAAAGCAAACTCACCAGGTCATAGGATCTGTGTTATAGAGATAAGTTTTCTATGTTTGTTTCGTTCCAATATAAGTATATAACCATACTGTAACAGTAGTTTTGCTGCAAATTTGAGTAAGCAATGCCACATAATTTCTGTGTTGACCTATACTGCTGTTGCATTAGATTTAACCTCATGCATCCTCCAATAAGTGATCCCTTGAACTTATGCTAACTTTATGGCTTGAGTTTTTGCCTGCCCCATTCATTGATTGTGTAAATGGCATTGTCATAGGCTCATAACATTTGGTTACTCTTATTCTCTGGTATAACTTTCCTGGTTCTTACTTGCTGAATTTACATTCATTGGTTATATGAGAAACATATTCTCTGGTAGATTGTTTTTTGGCTAGTATTGGTGTTCTGCTTATGATATTTTGTTGCTTAAATCCTGAACTATGGTCGCACAGTTTAGCCTCAGGCCCACAACTAGGTGCTAAAAATTTTATTCTTAGAGATAGGCATTCCTCCCCTTCCTAGTTCTGTCTGTCTGCTGCTGTGCTGCATGCCACCATATCAATGTTGGTTGTTATTGACGCTTATTTACTTCTTTGATGTAGGATCCTGAGTTCTATAAATATTTAGAAAAGTTTGATAAAGATTTGTTGGGATTTGATGATGATGAAATCGAGGTAAGCTGGTCCCTTTTTTGGTGAGATTTCTATAATAGAATCATGAGAGTGGAGTCATTGTTGAATATTACAATTAGGATGACCAGGAAACTGGGGTTGATGATGATGAGGAATCTGTATCTAAAGAGGAACTGAAGCAAACTGTGAAACCTATTACAATGGAAATGGTTGATTCCTGGTGTGACGGAGTAGAGAATGAGAAGATAGGTTCTATCCGTTCTATTCTTCAAGCTTTTCGCAGAGCCTGCCATTATGGTGAAGATCAAGGGGACAATTCAACTCCAAAGCTCAGTGTCATGTCTGGTAGCGTACTTGATAAAGTTATGCACTTTGTTTTGAAACACATGGATAGAGTCCTCCGTCAGTTACTTGGTGCGCCAAGCTTTGGAGGGAAGAAAGAGGCAATCAGTGAGCTGATGCTGAATAAGCCATGGAAGAGGCATGGTAATCTTATGAGGATCTTTCTTTCCAATGCACTTCATATGATAACAGAGATGACCGATGAGCAAATGATCGCATTTACTATACACCGTATCAGAGCATCAGCTGTTTTTCTGGCAGCTTTCCCATCGCTCCTGAGGAAGTATGTTAAGGTGCGTAGGTTACAATTTCTGCTCTACCTTTAAGTTTCTTTCGGCATTGTTCTGGTGTCTATCTCCCATGTTTGTCATTTACTTCTGTTTGCATGCTTCAATTGTAGGCTCTGCTTCATACATGGGCTAGAGGACGAGGTGCAATGCCTCTTGTTTCTTTTATGTTCCTTCGAGACTTGTGCATTCAAGTAGGTTCAGATTGCCTTGATACGTGCCTCAAGGGTATCTACAAGGCTTATTTGGTGAACTGCAAATTGTCCAAATCTATCAGTGGATCAAAACTGCAACACATTCAATTCCTTGGAAATTGTGTCAGAGAATTGTATAGTCTGGATCCGCAAAGTGCGTATCAGCATGCTTTTGTTTTCATCCGTCAACTGGGGGTTATCCTAAGAGGAGCTCTTACTGAAAGGGGGCCAAAGGTATATACCATTGAACTCATTGCCATGCACTGGAACTTCATTGTGTACCTATGACCTGACAGAGATATTTGCCTCTTGTTTTATTTTAAAAGTCAGCAAAGGACAAAAGGCAGAAAGAAAGCAGCAAATCATCAAAAAAACAAGCGGAGGTATTATTCATACTGCCACTCAAATACCTACACTGGTACTGTATAAGTTTGAAATACATTCAGACCTTAAGTAACCCCCTTATTCTGCAATACAGTAAATCCCTTTATTCTTGCACCTCTTTTATTGAGAAAATCTCACCTTTACAAAATGCTATTTTCCTCAGTGTTAATAGTCTATGTTTTGTTGTCCAACACTTCAGCAGTTTTCTGTTGCTGGCTGCTAAAGAGTTGACATTTTTCTTTTGCAGAAATCTTACCAAAAAATTTATGATTGGCAATACATATTCTGCCTTGAGCTTTGGACCAGTGTTGTGTGCGGGTGTAGTTCTGAGGAAGAATTCCGACCTCTAGCTTATCCGTTGACCCAAATAATTCATGGTGTGGCATGCCTTGTACCTAGCGCACGTTACTTCCCTGTGCGCCTTAGGTGTGTCAAAATGCTTAATCGTATTGCTGAAGCTACTGGTACCTTCATTCCCGTGTCCTCCCTGCTGCTTGATATGCTTGAAATGAAAGAACTTAGAGGACGTCCAGATGGAGGTGTTGGCAAAGCCGTGAATTTGTTCAGTGTTAAACAGGTTTGTTTTCTTGCAATATAACATTTCTCTATGGAACACGCCTTCTGAAGAAGCTTGTAACAGTTCTCTTTTCTTGACAGGTGGACAAGAAAACAGTAAAGACACGTGCCTTCCAGGAAGCTTGCATTTATTCTGTGGTCGATGAGCTGGCTAAACATTTGGCTCAATGGAGCTACTCCATTGCCTTCTTTGAGATGTCCTTTATTCCACTTGTTCGGCTCCGAAGCTTTTGCAAAACCATTAAAGCTGACAGGTTTAGGAAAGAGATGAAGGATCTTATCTATCAGGTTTGCCAAGCATGTGTAGGGGTTCGAATTACAGTATTTGAACCATTTCACATATGCTAATGTTTATCATCATGTCTGATTTCAGATAGAGGCCAATGTCGAGTTCATTAAGTCAAAACACATGGGGATTGCATTTTCACCCAATGACCCAGCTGTAGAGTCATTTCTGCAGGCATGAGTCCTGACTTTGTGGCTTTTGCTTTTTGCACATTTATTTGTTTCTATATACTATCATTCCTGTGTCATTTTGTGAACTTTAGCAATCATTCCCCAACAGATCGAAAAGGAAGAACGTTGCAGCCCTCTCTCAAAATATGTTGCTACTCTACACCAGAGAGCGCAGGATAGGATGGATGCTCTGGACGAGACCAGGTTAGTTCCATCTATCAGCTAAGTTCATATCACAAACAAATATGCTCTGCAATAGTTAGGTTGTTATATTTTCTAGCCGCATGCTCTACATTTTAGGCCCTGTTTAGTTCCAAAAAATTTTCACCCCAAAGTGTCACATCGAATCTTGTGGCACATGCATGATGCATGGAGTACTAAATGTAGACGAAAAAAAAACTAATTGCACAGTTGGGTGAGAAATCGCGAGACGAAACTTTCGAACCAAATTAGTCCATAATTAGACACTAATTGTCAAATACAAACGAAAAATGCTACAGTAGCCAAACCCAAAATTTTTCACAAACTAAACGCGCCCTTAGTATGCACAAACCACAACATATGTATCATGATTATCTTGTAAGTACAGAAGTGCATACTGATTAATGGCATTGGGTTCACTAATTCCTTACTGCCAACCAGTGTAATTGTGGGGGCTGATTCCTCAACCTTCTCACGGAGGTTATCAGAAGCGCAGAAGCAACAGGATGAGCAGGACGATGATGAAGGCACTATTGCTTTCAGTAAGAACTTGACTGAAAATAAGAAACCGAAGTATGTTCTACCTTCCCTCTTTTTTCCATTACTTGCCGTGGAAAACATATTATCATACCATTGTTCGGTGTGCAGAACTCCAAAGGAGAATAAAAAGCGACCCCGGGAGGAGGATCATGTTGCTACTGAGGAGGATCGGGTTGAGGATTTGGTCTTGAGCTCAGATGAAGAGGATGACAACAATCAGGAACCAGAGGATGGTTTCGTTCCAGTTGAAGGTGATAGTGATGAAGACTTTGTAGACCCTGACAGTGAATATAAGAAACAAAAGAAGGCGAAGCTGAAGAAGAGGAACAAACACCAGCCATTGCCGCACAAGGCGCCCTCGAGAACAAAAAGGAATTCACATCCCAAGAAGAAGACCAGGCATTAGTTATGATCGATAGGACTCGGCAAAGTTGCTGCTGTTGTGATGTATGCTTCTGGCCGATAAAAACGTTCTCTCTCGAGTGAAAAAAATGTTATTATTTTCAAGAAAAGTTTCAAGTCATCTTTTGTTTTGACCCCCAACAGGAGGGGAGAGGATTTCCAATCTGAGCTTTCATTTCAGTGACCCAAAACGGCCTGTGGTGATTTGAAAGTTTACATGATTCAAAAGTGATGAAGGTTAGATTGCTAAGGAAAAAATTTCTACACCAAACATCACAAATGTGGGCGTCGTCGCTTGGTAAGTGGCAGCCCCACAGCTGACTTTCATCGCATAAAGTGGCACTTGGCTAGTACTGGGGTTCTCAGTTCTCACCCCTTAAAACGACGCTAATCTGCCTTTTCCACAGCTTCCAGCAACAGAGCATATGGCTTGGCACCTTGGCCTCTCAAGTTTGCGCAAGTCCTTGGCCTCAAATCCATCCGGGATGCCAACTCGGAAGGTTTGCCCGTCCCTGCTGGGACCTCATGTGCTCTTTTGTTGGTCCGATGCTGGCAGCGTGTACTTCCATTGCGTTGTGCAGATGAAGATAGTTCTGGCAAAGCAGAACAACATGAACTGTTGGTGGCCAAAATAAATAAATCGCCATGTTCGCTTGAGCTTATTCAAAACTACTTTTCAGCCATAAAACAGTATTTTTCTCTCACAACATTTCAGCATAAGCATAAGCTAAATTTCAGCATAAGCGAACAGGGTGAATAAATAAATAATCAGGCTATGCCACCACCAATCCCTTTGCTCTGTGTATGGTAGTTGGGATACATTTTGCAGCTCCAACAATCTCATAATCGCGGTAGTGATCATGCTGGAGTCCTCGTCCCGGTTAAGCGCCTTGTAGCGCTCCTAAGATTTGACGAGAGGATACGGGAAGAGGTAACTGCGAAGGCCGAGTTACGAGAACATAGGTCTCGCGTCTCAGCAAGTCGCGACTCGAGCACCGCCGCCGCCGCCCCTGCCGCTGATCCCCCTCCCTCCTCCTCCGGCATATCGCCAGAGGCCGGAAGAAGTGGGGATACATTGTTTTTAATAAATTTTTCTAGTAAATCGAGTCTTTAGGGTTATGGTCTCTCCATGCCAACTTTTTTGGTTTTGGGGATTTATCTCCTCCTCTTCTCCGACGGCGAGAGGGCAGGATAGAATCGTTTTCTTCATGACGGCTCTGTTGAAGATGAGGGCGACATCTACGGCGTCAGCATCTTCACCAGTATGATATGAAGACTCGGCGACATCAAGGCGGAGATGGTGTCGCCGCCATGGAATAATTTTCTCCGGTCTCTTCTCCGTTTTATCGTGGTTAGATCTGGCCACGACGAAGGACCAAGGAGAATAAGTTTCAGATCGGCCTTCCTCGTTCTTCGGTGGCAGAAAGAGGAAGAAAGACACCAGAAAGAAGAAGTTTCTCAACTCCGCTTACATGAATGTTGCCCATCGTTCGTTGGGCATATGTTCTCAGGCCTTTTGCCGAGTGTTTGCCTATCACGGTCATCCATACTGCAAAGCGTCGTACAAGTTCGGTTTTGAGATCTGGAGCTATTCACAGCGTTGGTACAATTTAGATGAAAATCAGTTTCTGGATATTTGTGTAGTCCAAAATATTTATAACGTGTTAATGTACCTGGCTATTACGTAATATAATTCTTCTTCTTTCGTCGAAAAAAAAGATTTGACGAGAGGATTACATGTCCAAAATTGCATGAGAAGGTGTGGTTCACTTGCAGGTCAATCAGTGTGATGCAATCGTCGCAACACTGCTATGGTCCCAACCTTATATACATGTATCTCAATTTGCTTGTCCTGGCGCAACTTTTACTGCAATGGTTGTGGTTGTGTTTTGCTTCAGCTTGGGCAGATCCAGAATGGGTCCAGAGGGGGCTGAATAACATAAAGAGGCTTTGAATTGGGTTTCGATGGGCCTTTTGGGCTTAGTTGAAGGCGAGTTGGGCCGACATCCTCCGTGTTATTGAAGGCGGCCGGCCCAGTTGGGCCAACATCCTTTTATAAGATAGTGGCGGAGCCCCGGAACTTTAGCAAGTCGTTTTTTCTGTCATTTACTGTTCCTAGTATTCATATGTACGTCTGCAGGTTTGGCATGGCCCTATTATTGTCTGGTCTGATTAATGGATCGTTCTTGCTGTTGTGACTCGTGAATGAACTGCCATTTTCCATGCTATATATTTTCTGATAAATAATGTGTTTAGATCACGTTTCGTTAATAAATGGATAAACTAAAAGAGTCTAGATAAATAATGTATTTAGATCGTAGTATAATTAAAACTAAAGTGTAACAAATCTTGGGTTTTATAATATCTTCTTTCTTGCTATCACAAAATTAAAAATCTCATAATGATATTTATACTTTGTATACCAATAATAAAATTTGCGGCAAAACCCCAGCACCAACGGTTGACATTGGACGAAGAGGCCATACGCGCCAAACCGGACCGTGTGGGCCCGGGCCCACTCGTGCCCTCTCCTCTCCGTACGGACTACGGGGTCGCTTGTCCTTAATCCAACTCCATGTCGTGCTGAGCATCTTAATCCGCATCCAAATCGCAGCCTTAACCCAACTCCTTTCCTCTATTAATCCTCGCAATCAGCTCGAAGAAGCACAGACTTGCAAACGCAACCCAACGAGGAGACGCTGTTTTTTCTTTAGGGATCATCAACAATCACGTACGCCATGCACTCGCTTTTCCGACGCGCCAATAAGGCGCCGGCGGTGGCGTCCCCGCCGGCGCCGATGCCGATGCTGTCCTTCCCGGGCAAGAAGGCGCTGCGCTTCGCGGGGGACACCTCGGCGGCCGAGAGGGACGCGGACCTCGCCGTCCTGATGCACGCCCGAAACCACGTCGTGCTCGCCACGGAGAGCGCCGGCGCCGCCACCCCTGCGGAGACCGCCGCCGCGCTCCGCGCGTACCTCCGCATCATCTACGCGTCGGAGCTGATGTCCGGCTCTAAGCAGCAGAAGCTGCGCTTCGCGTGGCGCGATAGCAGCGACGCCGGGACCGGGACCGCGAAGAAGAAGGACAAGGACAAGGCGGCGGTGGCGGCGCAGGTCCAGGAGCACACGTCGCTGGAGGCCGAGCGGGCGGTGGCGATGTTCGCGCTGGCCGCGGAGCTGGCGCGCGCGGCGGCGGCGGTGGACCGGTGCGGGACCGAGGGGACACGCCGCGCGTGCGCCGCGCTCTCTGACGCGGCGGGCGCGCTGAAGGCGGCGGCGCGAGCGCGCGGCGCCGCGGACCAGCTGTGCCACATGACGGAGGCGTGCCTCGCGACGTTCGAGCGCCTCATGCTCGCGCAGGCGCTCGAGTGCTTCTTCGAGCGTGCCGTCGCCGGAGGCACGCAGCCGGCTCTGTGCTCCAAGATCGCCCGGCAGGTGCGTAAAAGATTTCTCATGGGCCATGGCTACTAAACTTATTTCTTGTTCTAGATGAGTACAATGCAGAGCAAAACAAAAGTGTATAATTAAAATCATGAATTTGCCGGCAATGTGCAGTTTGCTGTGAAGCTACACTCTGCAAATTGCCAAATTAGTTTGCTGATGATATTCATCCCCTCCGCGTTTTGCAGGTGAGCCTCGACTACCAAGAAGTTTCAGTCAAGCTGGGCAGCCTCCAGCAGCAGCAGCAGCCGATCGAGAAGTCGTGGGTACCGCAGGTGCAGGCGAAGGCCGCCTACTTCCACGCTACGGCCAGCCTCCACTACGCGAGGTCGCTAAAGGAGGAGGGCCCCGGCTCCTTCGGCGAGGCGGTGGTGCGGCTGCGGTTCGCGGTGTCGGTCCTGGACGCCGCCAGCGGCAAGACGGGCCCGCTGAGCAAGAAGTCGCCGTGCACCGCGGCCGTGCGGGACGCCGCGGCGCGGCTCCGGAGGGAGGTCGAGGCCGAGCTGGCGGACGCGGAGAAGGACAACTGCCAGGTGTACTTCGAGCGCGTGCCGGCCGCCGACGTGCTCACGGCGCTGCCGGCGCTGGCGAGCCCGCTGGTGCAGCCCACGGCGGTGGAGTCGGTTCTGAGGGAAGCCGACGGCGAGTCTGCCTTGGCGAACGGCGGGGCACCGACGATTCGACATTGACGCTTTTGTGATTGTTTGCCTGGGTCTGCGTGTGTGTGTTCGTTCGTTGACTTCTTCCAATCCAATCGTGTGCTCGGCGAGGTAACGCCGCGCAGCCATGATTTTGTGATTGATTTCTTCGATTCTGCTTCTGAGATCATTCCTCCGTATTATCGTTTGAGTGAGAAGCACGAGAGTTGCATTTATTTTAAAGAGACAATGTACAATTGTACAAAAGGTTTCAGTTGTAAGAAAGTCTTAATGGGCGTTGAATGTCGTCTTCTTGACTTACGTTTACGACGCAGTTTTTCCTCCTGTTGTCCTCTTGAAGGGTAGAGGAGAAAGAAAGAAAGAGTGGAGTGCACTAGCGATTTTTAAACTTGTTCGGGTGTATTATTTTGATCCTTTAAATTCTCAAATCGTTTGAAATTTAATGTGGCCAACTAAAAAACTTGTTCGGGTCATTTGAAAATTTTGGAAAAAAATAAATTTAAGAACTTAAAAAAATATTTAGGCCTCTAAACTATCTCAGATAAAAAAGGTGGCCAACTAAAAGTTGTAGATCTTACTGAGAGCTATAATTTTGTTATAGACCATGTCAAAATTTGAGTTGTTTGAAAATTTTAAAATTGATAACTTAAAATAAATATTTTAGCCTCTAAAAGATCTCAAATAAAAAGTTTCTAACTACAAAGTTGTAGATCACTAATAATGTCAACAATACCACCTAAGAAACCACGATAAAATGATCAAGAGAATATTTTATCTAGTTTTAGTTAAAAGTTAAGATGTGTATGTGTTGGATATCAATATTCGATAGGGTCTTCTGAGTTGAGCGACTAGTGTGTGTGTGTGGGTTTTTTTTTTTTTTTTTTTTTTTTTGCGAATAAATTGAGCAACCAGCTGTTTAAGGGTAATTCAAACTTGACTTTGTAATAATGTTTGTCTGATGCCTCTCTTGTGAAGGATTTTTCTTGAATATGCAAAACATTTGCTTATCATTGCATTAAAGTAGAAATGTGAGTTTTACAATGCTTTGCCAAAGCAAACGCACTCTAGAGCCAAAGCGCACACTCTAGTGGTGACCTTACGCTCTCCTGAACCTATTACTCGCCAAACAAGCAACTTAAGTTGAAGGCCCCTATACGCACTGTACGATTCAAATGCGAGCGGGGCCGCTCCGCGTATGGCCATGGACATCCAGCCTGTTCGGTTGGCTGGTTCGTTTCGTTGCTGGTTCGTGAAGAAGTACTGCTGGCTGGTTTGTGTGAGAGAAAAATACTGTTCCGACTGAAAATTTACGATCGTTTACGATAAGCCACAGCCAAACGAACAGGCTGATCATTGTGTGCTCCTTCGTCTCGAAAAACTCCTTGATCGCCCTATCATGGCTAGGTTTGAATACCTCGCCATATATGGTGTTATAGCTCGCCTCGAAGGAGTTGAAGTGAAAAAAAAATCCATTAAATATGGTAAAAGCAAACTCTATTTCCACTACGTGATAATTCAACTCGCTGGATTATGAGCACTAATATTTAAGCAACAAAGCAAACAACTCCAAATATAGGTAAGTTTTCTACTTCTGACCAACCATACTTCTATGCTACGTAGTTATATACGTACTTAATGTGCCTTTGGTGCGATCTTTGATACTAAAAGATGAGCTGGACTGCCTGTCCTTTCTTCTCCGTAAAAGATTACAACTCATGTCCTCAAGGCAAAATATTTTCCAGGTAATTCTTTCTGGACTTCAAAAGCTGATGGTCAACGGTCCGTCTTCTGGGCATCGATCCTGCATGTAAAAAAGGACTTGGTTAATAACACTATCTATCAGATTCATACTGGCAATAGTTCTATTTGGTCCACGCCTTGGTGCCCAATATGGGAAAATATTCATGATCATCTAATACTACCAGTTACTCAATCTCCACTGCAAAGTGTGGTGTCGGATCTTTGGACTCCGAACACTCACTGTTGGAACATGGATCTTCTATCTAACATTTTTTACCAGAATGGTGTGCAGATTATATCGCAGGTGAAGACGGTACGTACACAGCCATCAGGCTGACACTCTCCGATGGATTCCGGCAAAAAGAGGTGATTGCACAACTAAGAATATTTACAGGCACTTAAGTACACAACTGCAGGTACAGCTGCCCCAACAAGGTTCCAGGAGCATTACACCACAGGCAGATAAAATTCTACAGAGAATGTGGAAGCTCAAGGAGCTACCTCCACTCATCAAAACATTTACTTGGAGGCTCATAAGACGGGCACTGGCGACGGGAGATAGAGCTGCCAGATATACACCTCGCATTGACAAACACTGCAGTACCTGTGGACTAATCGAAACTGATGCCCATCTGTTCTTCCACTGTGACTTCGCTCGTGCGGTATGGTTCTCAACTCAACCTCCTCTTCGCACGGATTCTTTGCCACAAGAGGATGATGGTGTCCAGCTTACTGACACAATAGATAACTCTTTAATGCAAAAAATACTTATAACTATGTGGTATCTTTGGAAAGCGAGAAACGATAAAAGATTTGCAAATAAGAATTGCACTGCATGGCAGCTACACCATGCAGTTGCTGCTTATATCACCACAATCAACTCAGACACAGGTGTACCGGACGAACAGCACCAACAAGCTAGCTCCCGATCCAACAGGGAACAAACTGATGGCGATGCAGCCACCATGGCGACCACTCCATTACTGCAACCCCACAGCAGCCTGAATGATTCAAGGCAAGGTATTACTTCTACCTTTGCAGGCAACGATGCAACACACATGATCACACAGCAGGAGCACACGAACCGGCAGCCAATGCACACTACAATGCAGGCCACACGGTCGGGTATGAATTATTTCACTGCAGGAAATGGATCATCACCATCACAGGCGTACAGACACAAGACAAGTCCAACACAAAGATTCATGTCTCGCTTTCAGCTTTACTGGAAGGACCTCGATGCTACACCGATGCCTCCACTATGCCGGATCAGGTTCCGTCCACTCCAAGGAAGGCCGGAATTGGAATCTTCATTATCAATACCCAGGTCCAGCCGACGCAGAATATCTACAAAGCAACCATGTCAAGCTCAGTCTCAGTCCTGATGGCTGAGGCGGCAGCTATGTCTCTGGCGGCGGTCATTACGGATCGACTACAGCTACAGCATACAAACTTCCTATCCGATAACCAAGAGCTGGTTCAATTCTTCAATTCCGGTGACTACTCAAATCCTCCGGATTGGAGAATCAAGCATCTAACTCAAACCTTTGTCAACCACACTCAACAGAGAAGTGCAGGGACATTCAAGATTAACAGGAGTCAAAACCAAACTGCGTTTCAGCAATGCCAATCCATGTACACACCTCCTACTGCTGCTTGTACTTGCTCCAACTTAGCTCATGTACATCAATGCCCCTTAGCGGTGCTACTGCAGAATGTAACCATTGACTCTGTAATGGTCTTAACAGCTAGATGCTGTTGAAATGGGAAAGTGTTTGTTGTAAAAAAAACTCATGTTTGGCTTCTGGCATTCGAAAAGTTATTAAGAGAAAAACTGGTTTCATCAGTTTTCTGAGTTTCATCAGTTTTCTGAGTTGTAAGATGGAATGTGCCTAGGAATGAAAGGGGAAATATAGTAGTATGATGGACAGTGTTCAGCATATTACTAACAAATACTGAAGAAGTGGATTTACTAAATTGAGATGGTCATATAAAACCTTTTCGTTGCTGATTTACCTAACCATACACCCAAAATGGAATTAGTAGATGGACTCATGCTATAATTAGTATATGCTATAATTGTGAAAAAAATGTATATTCCTGAGGTGACATAGGTGCTTTGACAGGTTCAAAGTGATGATCAAGGTCATATTTTCTGCAACTTTGGAACATATTGTCTAAATCAGGTATGCATGTATCTATAACATGAAAGAGAGAATTTTCTGGAAAGTCATTTAAATTAAAAAATAAGCATCCTTTCAATTATTTCGGATACAATCTCAACCTATATTGATAGCAAATAGGATTGCGTGGAATCGTAGATTAATTGATTGGAGAGACCTATGTACATATATATATATATATATAGGAGAGGAGATCTGGTGGCTTATAGAAATAGGACCTGCCAAGATCTCCTTCTGATATCTCTCTAACCATATATAGGGCTGGCCAGCTATACCAGGCACACGCCCAACATACACACACGCACAACACATATATTCTAACATCAGCACCGTATATATGTCTTCCAACCCCGTTCAGCATCAGCGCACCAAGCACATTGAGATTGATCTTCACTTCGTTCGAGAACGAGTGGCCCTAGGTGCTGTCCGCGTTCTTCACGTCCCAACGATGTCTCAGTTCGCTGACATCTTCACCAAAGGCTTGCCCACTGCTGTCTTCACGGAGTTTCGATCCAGTCTCAACATTCGCTCCATCGACGCTATGACTGTGGGAGGATGTTAGAATATATATATGTGTTGTGCGTGTGTATATATAGGGCTGGCCAGCTATACCAGGCACACGCCCAACATATACACACGCACAACACATATATATTCTAACATCCCCCGCAGTCACAACGTCGATGGAGCGAACGTTGAGACTGAATCGAAACTCCGTGAAGACAGCAGTGGGCAAGCCTTTGGTGAAGATGTCAGCGAACTGAGACGTCGTTGGGACATGAAGAACGTGGACATCACCTAGGGCCACTCGTTCTCGAACGAAGTGAAGATCAATCTCAATGTGCTTGGTGCGCTGATGCTGAACGGGGTTGGAAGACATATATACGGTGCTGATGTTGTCACAGTAGACCAAAGTGGCATGGTGCAGAGGTGAATGCAGCTCAGACAACAACTGTCGTATCCAAGAGGCTTCATCAACGGCATTGGCGACCGCACGATACTCAGCTTCTGCACTAGAGCGGGAGACTGTGTTCTGGCGCTTGGAGGATCAGGAGATAAGATTGTCCCCTAGAAACACTGCGTAACCTGATGTGGACTTACGAGTGT